ATATTCATAATGGGAATCTTTTATTCCACTACATCCCTAAGTTGCTCCGTTACACTGAAATCTGGTCACTGGAGGACATTTGAGTATACTGAACTCATTGCTATGTTCAAGAATCTAGTTTGACGAATAAAACACAGCAAAATCCAGTTTGAGATGATTTCAGCTTTGTGACATGGTGGGTTATCCAGTGTACCCAACATCAGTGTAAGACTTTCTCAGAGCTATTAGTGCTAATACCTACCAGTTCAAGGTCATTGTTACCTTTTTTAAAATCTCACATTTTTTTCCTTAGTGGGTAAAATAAGTATTCAATCAATCAACCAATCAATCAATCAATCAATGAATCAATCAATCATAGATACTTCACCAACCTCTCCGCCACCATGGGAAAAACCAAAGAGCTGTCAAAAGAAGCTGGAATGAGTTACAAGACCATCAGCAAGAACTAGTGACAACTGTTGGTGACCCTCAGTCTGAAGCTCCATACAAGATCTTGGTTTATGAAGTGAGGATGATCATGAGAAAGTTGGTGGATCAGTCCAAAACTATATGTATGAGTCGATAAATGATCTGCAGGCAGTCAGGACCACAGTCAGTGAGAACACCATTGGTAACACACAATGACTGTAGAAAACAAAAATGAGCTCTTTGGCATCAACTCTACCCACCCTGTTTGGAGAAAGAGAAATGCTAGGTATGACCCAAAGAACATCATCCCCACAGTCAAGCACAGAGGTGGAAACATTATGATTTGGGCTGTTTCTTCTACTAAGGGTACATGCTACTTCACTGCACAAAGGGGCCCATAGACAGAGCCACGTACCGTAAAATCATAGCGGAGAGCCTCCTTCTCTAAGCTGTGGATGGATCTTCCAGCATGACAGTGGCCCCAAAAATATTTTCAAGGCAACAAAGGTGTGGGTAAAAAGGAAGCACAATAGGGTCATGGATTAACCTAGCCAGTCTCCAGCCCTCAGTCCAAGAGGGTCTGCCAAGATGCAGTAAAAAAAGACTAAAGGATTTAGAAAGCTTCTGTAAACAGGAGTGGCCCCAAAACCCTCCTGACATGAATGTAAACCTGGTGACCAACTAGAAGAAATGTCATATCACTATGGTTTCCAGTCATGTTTTGCTTGGGGATCAAATGTATATTTCACGCAGTCACATGCAAATCAATTTATAACGTTTATGTAACATGTTTTCTTCAGGATTTTTGGCTGATATTCTGTCCACCTCCATTAAAATGCAACCATAAAAATTAGAGACCGTTCATTTTCTTGCGAGCAAGCAAACTTACAAATTCAGCATGAGATCAAATAATTATTTCCCCCAAAGTATTTTCCAGCTGTCATCAAATATTTTCCTCTTAGAAAATACATTTTATCTTCCACTGCGAACCCAAGATTTACAGTTCATTTGTCTTATTGATACATGTGTAGATTTCTTTTTTTAAATTCCTGACCCAGTGTCTGAATATTGGTCTATTTACCAGCCTATGGTAGGGTGGTAAACAGTCTACTCTCACTTTGACATTATCTTATATCTTTTGCCAGATCCATACATAGTTGATGATCAAGGTGTTATCTGAGGCAACATCAATGATGTCATTAGAGCCAGCTCTCAGTTACCGCCGCCTGTGTTGGTATTATAGCAGATATGTACCTGTAAATCATTAATGCTCATTCAATTGTCTCCTTGCTCCCTTGGCAGTATCTCCTGCCGGCTGTAGTATTTCATCGGGAAATATGGTACACACCACTGATAAAACAAGCAAGAACAATTCTCGAATTGGCTGAACTCTGTTTCAACTCTGAGCTCATGGCTAGACAGGTGGGGCTGAGGTATCAGAGGAGAGCATGTAGTATCTGTATTAAAGGACAGCATGGTATTTTCCCCCTCTTTGTGTTTTCCCGACCGACAACGAGAACAGCCTGCAAGTAGTAATACACACATTTGAAGAACATATTGTAATATTATATTGCGCATGCTCATACTTAGAAAAGCCATTGCTTATACCTTAATGCACAAAACAAGGTTTTAACTGCATTTGCACATGTCCAAACAGAAAATAATAGTCTCAAAAGCCATCTGGAGGTCCTGTTTCTAGCTTCTTCTAGTCAAAGTTCAGTGGTTAAATCAACCTCACAGACCATGATAAAGACAAAATTAACATTTGCCTTTGAAAGGCCAGGTGGAAAAATTTGGGAACTAAGTTAAATGACTGTTTTTTCTGCAAACCCAGAAAGGATTCCTTTTTTACTGTTGATATTTTTTTTAGCTTCCAAAAAGGGGGAAATGCCAGAGAAAGTCTGAGACCCGCTGTTTTAAATCAACAGATGTGCTGACACTGGGTGGCAGCATTGAGTTATTAGTGACAAGAGGACCTCTTCTAATTTTTGAAAAGATAGCATTCTCATGAGACCTTTCAGTTGGAGAAAAATAAAATAAAATAAATAAAAGCAAGAAAAGAATTTTAGAATATCTTTGTGTATTTTCCACAACCTCCTGGGATGGCGAGATGCTCCCAATGTTACGTTTTTAAATGCAAAAATGAATTATGTAAAAAACAGAAAAACAGACAGAAAAGTATAATTTAAGAGTGCATATTTGGATTATTAACAGTTGTGTGGGTGATTTTGGGGTTAGAAGTTGTTAAAAGTCACCTATAATTTTGTCCTATCTGAAAGCATTAACCCATGCTGATGTACAAATTTAGGTTTCTTTGATTTGGTTTTATGAGTGAAGACTTTCTCTGTGCATACAGTGGCTACAGTGCATTCAGTGTGAGTGGGAGACATGTTTGGACTGCTTGTACTGGGTTGACCTCAGCCTGTGCTGTGAGCAGAATTGTTAAATTTTGACTTGAGTGAAAGAAAATGGAATAGAATATACCAATGATGTGAATGTACAGCTGAGGGTTAGTGCAGTTATTTTCCTGCTATTGCTGCAGGCCTTTTTAAGGTTCAGAAGAAAACATTTACCTCTATAAAACATGTGGAGCATTTAAAACAAGTCATATTAATGCTTACAGATGGCTAACACTGTAAGTAATTACAAAGATTGTATTAGACTTTTAGTTTTAACCTAAAGACATGGAAGAGCAGGTTGATTAAGTTAAAGTGGTGTGGCAAAACTGTATCCTTTTGATTGTTTTGTGCATGCGTGTGGCGGAATGATAATTCAACATAATTGCGTAGTTTTCTTTTTTCGAAATTTAATTGTAAAAGTTTAAAATTGACCACTTAAGCATGTCCAAAGACATAACAAATAGGAAATAAATGCATTTCTTCTGCATTTAAATACAATCAAAAGCGTTGTACAAAATGTCTAAAGTGGTGAATTTTATTCAGAAAATACAAAAAAATTAATAAATGAACCTAAAAACTTACCTTTTACACAATAATGTGAGTGGGAGATAAATTTAATATGTGCTAATGGTATGTTTATACATTTCTGTTCTTATATGCCAGGGTACAATCAAGCATGTCATGCAACAATGTCGAGGCAGGGCACATAATGTGGATATTGTACTGGTGGCACAGATTTCCATTTTCACACAGACAATGGGGGCTGGGGGTTGGCTGAGGCAGTGTCTGAGAAAAAAAAGAAAAGAAGGTATTTTACAGTTCTCATCAGACTCACCAAAACACTGAATGATTTAATGCCAAATTAATTACCCCTTACCCAACTTTAGACAATAATGCTCGGAGCCGTCTGTCGGAACGGTATTCTTCTATTAACAGTCGCTTTGCAGTTCAGCCAGAGTGATTTCATATTTAGATTTTATTGTATTTTCTCAGTGAGTGCGTGGCATTGCATCCACAATAGAACGGTGCAGAATTATTTCACATTTTCTGTTGAGTCACCTGTGCAGCGGAGATGGGATCAGCACACTCAGCGGAGGCAGAATTTGTTAAACAGTTAACATATCTGTTCCTAAGCATTACAAAAGGAGCATTTACGAAGTGAATTCAAGCACAGTGTGGTTTAATTAGTTGAAACTTTTTCTAATATAAGGCTTTCTTCACAATCATAACCTAAGGTATGTTTAATCAAATCAGATGCTTGAAATCCATTTCTCCTCTCTCTGCTTGGTTTTCAAGGTCATAGATTTCAAAGCCAGACCGTGTAGATGTTTTACAAAAGCACCATATTAACAACACTCATGAAATCAAAGCGGGCATATGAATTTAATTAAATGTTACCTTTTACACTTTTTCCCCCCCTTAACAAAAGCTGCCAGTTAGTGACTTGAGAGAACTTGGAGCATAAGCACAAGATATGCTGGCTTGTTGTTCGAGGGTGAGGCTGACCTGGTCCAGATCCGGGCCACCTGTGTGGCCTAGCCTGCCCTCTCATCTGCTTCCTGTCCTGGCTCCAGGAAATGGTCACTAGGCATCCCACTGGCTCTTTCCATCCTCTTCTACTTCCCCCATCACCTTCAACACAGAAATCAGAGCTAGGTTAACAGGATGTTTAGAAAAATCTTAATTTCTATCTGGAAATAACATAAAAAAATGTACATTTAATTATGATATGAGTATATATTTTTTTGTCGAGCTACAGCAACAAGCAGAGAGATTCAAATCCCAACTAGCTTAGGTTTATCTCAGTAAATGGATTGGTCTCTCTTGTCTTAGTCTGCGTGTCTCTGTTCAGCAGTCGATAGGTTAACCTGCCTGTGGCATCCATCTTGTGCGGCCCGCCTCACATTACCATTGATCTGAGGGAAATAAAGAGCA